CTATTATCATCATCATTTCCACACTGTCGTCATCTTCGTCCTATCATCATCATCACCACCATCATCATTCCATCATCATCAACATCATCATCATCATCATCATCGTCATCGTCATCGTCATCACCATCATCATCATCATCATTCCATCATCATCATCATCATCATCATTCCATCATCATCATCATCATTCCATCATCATCGTCATCATCACCACAACAACATCATCATCCTCATCGTCGTCATCGTCACCAGGAGATGACTATCAGAAAAAGCAGCACGTATTCCTGCGATCTACCGGCCGAACGTCAGCTACCGCTGCCACCAGCTCCAAAGCTCTCTGGGAGGTCGAGGTGGTAGTAGTAGTACTAGTAATGATAATAATAATAATAATAATAATAATAATAATAATAAGAATAATAATAAGAATAATAATAATAGTGATGATGGTGATAATAATTACAAATAAATAAACAAATAAATAATGATAATTATTTCAAGGTCGTGAACTTTGACCCTTGTCGTGGAGGCGTCGGAACATGGAGCAGTTCCTACAGATTTAAGCACCTGGCTAGCGAACAGTATCTAGCAGCTAAGGTATGTATGTATGTATGTATGTATGTATGTATGTATGTATGTATGTATGTATGTATGTATGTATGTATGTATGTATGTATGTATGTATGTATGTATGTATGTATGTATGTATGTATGTATGTATGTATGTATGTATGTATGTATGTATGTATGTATGTATGTATGTATGTATGTATGTATGTATGTATGTATGTATCTATGTATCTATGTATGTATGTATGTATGTATGTATGTATGTAAGTGGGTGTGAGTATGCTACCAAACATACAAACAAACATACAAAATCAGCCTGATGACGATCTGAAAAGTAAGACAACCATTGAGAACAGTTCAGCCAACAACCAAACTGATCAACAACAAAAACAACAACAACAACCAATACAACATGTATCTACAACACAAACAACAACGTCAT